AAAATAAAGCAAATGGAGGAGAAGCTCTTCCAAAAAAAATTAATTATGTGGAGTCACAAAAGGCCATCTGATTTAAAACACTAATGATACACCAGAGATGTTGCATAAATTATTGTTTATTAATTTTCATGATGTTTTGTGCAATTTAAAGATTCCTTGAACACTATGACCATGGCTACTTCATTCAAACTCTTATATCTGGAGCGTTGGCTAAGCTAGAGAACATTTATGATCATTTTTGGCAAGGCAAAAGATTACTTAGAAAAAAAAGACTTGTAATCTGGACTAACTGGAGAATGATGGGACTTGCTGAAGGTYTGGCTCGCTGCTAATATGCAGAAACAAAGAAGGGCTGGCGGTGTTTTGTGCAGCGGTGCAATAAATCACTAAAGCTTTCATCATTACATTTTCATTTAGTATGAGAAGCTGTGCGCGTTCCGCATTGTCAAATCACTGTTTAACAGTGTATTGTTTCAGTCAGGAGCACAACAAATATTAAGGGTTTTCCCTGAGAGGCAGTAATATTTCCCTGAGGGGCAGCGAAAAGGAAACCGGATAGAAACAAATGAGATGGGTTTATAAGGGATCATTTGGATTCAGATTAAATGCATTAGTATTAAGGTGTATGTTTTAGTTTGTGCAACACAATGGGCTTTGCTCAACTTTCTACTAAKTTAACTTCTTGATGCACATGGAAGCACATTGAGCAATTAGGGTGAACACAGCTGGCAGGAAGTCAACAAAAGCTCTCATGTCAAAACTGAATTTTCTTTGTTTTGTTACATTTAATATACATGCTGCAGTTTATGTTTAATATCTATCAGAACACTAGAATTGGATTAAAGCCTGATGTGTATTTGTGTGCATATTATCCCKTTAAGTTCACAAAAAGAAAAACAAATGAATTTTAAATTCAGGCCATTCTRATTGTTGTGGGAGTTAGATATGAAACTTTGTTTTGTTTGTTTGGCCACCAATTTAGTGATCAAAAACAATTTAACAGACATTTGAGCTTTTTCTCTGAGATTGGTTGCTAATTTTTTCACCTTTTGAGTCAAAAAGTAAAAATTATTCACTTGAAATGACAGCAGTATCTCATGTGCTTAACAGTTTTGAAAATTAACAAAAGTTGCTGAAAGACACCAGTTTCAAAAATCCAAAATTACATGACTTGGAAAACTAAAGAGTTCTGCATTTTATTAGAGCTGATATAAACTCAAACAACTGTTCAGGTTGTATGTCAACATCTGGATTAAATGGCAATRAACTCCTATATTTTCTGACACCCACTCTTGTTTTCTGCACCTCCTGTAATAATATTTTATACTAAGTGATAACTACCTCTGTAAATGCATCATTTGTTCTGCAGCAACACTTTCATTCATTTGAYTGAATCGACATGAAACGTTTTATTTGTGACTTTTCCTACGCGGCACAGTGCCAGAAGTAGATAAGCCATTTGTGTCTGCACTCTGTCTAAATTTAAGCCCTGTGCTCCGAGCACTGTCACGACAAATGAGCCGTGTGGGTGGTGGACGCACACACKCACTCACAAAAGCACACGCCGTGCAAGTTCTCAACAAAGCAAMGCAATAAAGTGATGATACTGCAAACAGGGGCACGGGAGCTCTTTAAAGTGTACATGGGGTGGTGTTTGTGGGTGCATGCTATTAATTTGTGTTGTCAAATGAGAGTTAGGAGGTGCTGGAGATTTGCTATGAATGGATCATGTGATAAACTGAATTTATGTTTCACTTAATATTTGGTTTAATTTTGGCACCTCCATCACTCTGAGCAATCTGAAGTAATAAACTTTACTTCTTTACACTTAAAATTCTGTTTCATCGTAAAAAGATATAATCCTCCAGRCCTGGCAGACAAGTGTGGGGTGGGCCAGAACCRGTGTCAAGCTGGCACTGCTGGCTGACTGCTGCCRTAGAAAGTGGTTTGTAATCCAAATGTAGGCCAKGTATGTCAATGTTGTTTTAGGATTGGCATGCCACAACTCGCCCCRTTGTGGTTTGGTTTATGCAGCCTAATTGTGTCGGTAACTGGCCCTGTTGTGGGTTGTTTTATCTGGCACAAC